TGCTTCTTGAGATGCCTACATATCAGGGCCCGCGGAACCGCGGGGATCGGGATCCTCGAGCCCCTCCCCCCACAATTTCTTTGAAAAAGTATATTAAAGAGAAATAGAAAGAAAGAGAGCGAGAAAGAAAAAATAGTTAACTGCCAGTGTCACATTATAATGGGGTATCAAAATATGCTCATCTGACCATGATTAAAATTAATGCCTAAAATGCCCCCTGGATTCCACTTGGGGCCCTAAGGCGGGCCCTTAGATGCTCATATGACGGTCATTTAATGCCTAAAACCTCTGATTTCTGGGGGCTCTGCCCCCTGGACCCCACGCCAAATAGTGTCCTGCTAGTGTCACAAATAATAAGGTATAAACAATGCTCATCTGACCGTAATTAAACGCCTAAAACCCCTGAGCTTGTGGGGGCTCTGCCCCCTGGACCCAACCAAGAGCCCTTAGACGGGCCCCTCGATACTCATCTGACCGTAATTGAGTGCCTAAAACCCTTGAGATTCCGGGGCTCCGCTCCCTGAACCCCTAGCCAATTAGTGACCTGCCATTGTAACAATTAGGTATCAAAATAATGCTCATCTGACCGTAATTAAATGCCTTAACTCCTGAACTTCCGGGGCTCTGACCCCTGGACCCCGTCTAGGGCGCTAAGGCGGACCCCTGAATGCTAATCTGACCGTAAATTAAAACCTTAAACCCCTGAGCTTCCGGGGCGGACAAGGTATCAACATATGTTCATCTGACAGCAGGCGCGTAGCCAGGGGGGCGGTGGGGTGGTCCCCCAATAAACGCCGGCCAAAAAAGAGAGGAGTGTAAAGGAAGAGGACGTAGGAAGAAAAGGGAATAGACAAAGAACATATTTGAAATTCAGACAAGTATTAAGAGTCGAGAACGGTACAACGAATCGTCTTCTTTCTATAATAATTTAATGAAACGTCGAAGCTTCCGCGCTTCGCGCGGAAGGGGGGGATTGATTTAGACAAGGATTAAGAGTCGAGAACGGTACGACGAATCCTCCTCTTTCTCTAATGATTTAATGAAAAGTAAAAGCTTCCGCGCTTTGCGGGGAAACTAAATTATTTTCGAGAGCGGAACAACGAATCGTCTTCATTCTCTAAAAATTTAATGAAACGTCGAAGCGGGGGGGAAACTGAATTTAGACAAGGATTAAGAGTCGAGAACTGTACAACGAATCGTCTTCTTTCTTTAATGATTTAATGAAACGTAAAAGCTTCCGCGCTTCGCGTGGGAGGGGGGAAACTGAATTTAGACAAGGATTTAGAGTCGAGAACGGTACGACGAATCTTCCTCTTTCTCTAATGATTTAATGAAAAGTAAAAGCTTCCGCGCTTTGCGCGGGTGGGGGAAACTAAATTATTTTCGAGAGCGGAACAACGAATCGTCTTCATTCTCTAAAAATTTAATGAAACGTCGAGGCGGGGGAAAAACTGAATTTAGACAAGGATTAAGAGTCGAGAACGGTACAACGAATCGTCTTCTTTCTCGAATGATTTAATGAAACGTACAAGCTTCCGCGCTTCGCGAGGGAGGGAGGAGGGGAAAACTGAATTCAGATGAGGATTGAGAGTCGAAAACGGTACAACGAATCATCTTCTTTCTCTAATGATTTAATGAAACGTAAAAGCTTCCGAGCTTTGCGCGGGAGAGGGGGATGAATTAAGACGAGGATTAAGAGTAAAAACTGTACAACGAATCGTCTTCTTTTTCTAATGATTTAATGAAACGTAAAAGCTTCCGCGCTTCGCGCGGGAGGGGAAAACTATTTTCAGACGAGTAGGCACGTACGGAAGGGGGGAGGGGGTTAGGGGGTTGACCCTTCCCCCTTCGGTTTTTTTTGTGTGTATTTTGGAGCAACCCCCCCCCCCCCCCTTTTCTGTGATTTTTTTTTTTTTTTTTTAATTTAAAGAAAATAAACAAAAATATGCCAATGGCTGACCTAAAAAAGGTGACCTCACCCCCCCCCCCCCCCCCAACGGAACAAAATGTCCAATTTTCAAATTTCGAGACCAAAAAGAAAAAGTGTCCTCCCCCCCCCCCCCCCCCCCCCCCCCCCCCCCCCCCCCCCCCCCCCTAAGAAATCCTGGATCCGCGCCTGGCTGCCGGCACGTCAAGCTACTTTGCTTATTTCTGTAGCCCTCCTGCATCTAATGTATGTTAATTATGCATTCAATATATTTGTTTAAATTCAATACATTTGTTTAATATCGTTTATTATCTGTATAAAATTATATACACTTGAAATATTGTATCAAGCCATGTTATGTTCATGAAAATGTATGATGAAAAAAAGAAAAAAGATGCAGAAACCAATAAATCAAATAAAATAAAATCAAATCAAAATAACGTCCCTAGGTCAAAAATGGTTTAAAGAATTACATTTTTGTTTAGAACTTTAGTACGCGTCATCAGGTTTTGTCCAAGTCGGAGGGTGCATGCGATCTCTGCTTGACGACTATGATAACGCTTCATCGCCGCCGGGATGCCCGTGCGAACTGTGATCCATGGTCTAGACATGACGGCGTCCGCGGACTGCTGCGATGTGCTGGCTCGTCGAAGACGAGGAATCTCGAAAGCGCAAAGGACACTGTTGCTGTCTTGCATCCCCATAAAACAAATTAAGTATACTTTAAGTATCAATTATAAGCCTTTTTATGAAGCGTCAGTCCCGTTTTGGAAAGAATTTAATAAAAGTGAATAAATTGCTCATTTTTTAGCACATCAACTGAGATTTTGTCGGACGCTCTACTGACTTAGCCAACACACCGGTAAGAGCCAACGCACTGGTTATTATTATCATATAAGTGTATTTGAACGATTGGATAATAAAACCTCAAATATACAGTACGGTGGACCAAGCTGTTGTGACAATGATACATAGATATACATCAATCATCCAGTACATGCATTGAATATCCGTATTCAGTAAAGAAGACTTGCATTAAAAATGGGTTTCTACCCTTATAGAAATTTGGATTATGTGAAAGAAAAGCCAGAAAATTAGGTTTAATTTACACAGGTAAATATAGCTTCATGTAAATGTTTGACACATGTAAGCCTGGGGTACAAATGCCTACACTGAGTTAGATGACTCCATAGAAAATTAACAAAGCATAATACATTTTACCAAACATTTCTATTTTTAAGTAATATGGACGCATGGATAATCTTGAATAACAGTAATTGATAACATGAAATAATATTCTATAAACCATTCAGTACAAAAATAGAAAGTAGATCTATTTGACAGCTAAGCTTGCTGTGTGTAGGTTCACTTAATTATACGACTGACCTCAAATACAGACAAAACAATGACTAGACTAGACTGAGACCCCACAAAATGTAAAACAACATATATGTTACGGGTAAATTGAAAAGAGAGAGAAATATAAAACACATGAAAGACAGAAATTGCAGAGTTTGTTTCTCTCCTTCCTTTTACCTTGATACGAGGGAGCTAAAGCAATAAAGATTTTTTTTTCTTCCCAATACCTTTTTTCTCTTCTATTCCCATATAATTACAAGGCAGCCATATGAAATAACACATATAAAATCAAAGTCACAATAAATGTATTTTCTTCCCTTCTTTTCTAACTGAATACGAGTGAGCTGTAAGAAGAATAACAAATACAAGAAATAAATTACAATATCAATATATACTTTTTGTTTTTTTGCCTTTCTGTCTTACTCTTTTTTCTCACCTAAATACATTGGATATGTAGAATATTACACATGGAAAAATAATGCCGACAAATTACAATATCTATATATGATTTTTTTTTCTTTCCCGTTTTTTCCACAAGAACATGCTATATCGAATTTACAAATATACAATTTTTCTTCTTTCCAATCTTTCTTTCTCTTCTTTCTCACCTCAATAAATGGGAGTTGTATTACGCAACACATGGTAAAATAATGCCGACAAATGGAGGGAATCATGTGATATGGTATCTTAGAACACGTGTAGAAATGGCAAAATATAATATTGGCGTACAAAGAAAACAATTGTGTTCAATAACACACATAATGCCTTTTTTGTTCAAGGTACAGAGACCAAGACAATGAATTGCAAAGAAATGGGATAAAAATGAAATAACAATTATAGTCAAGTTGTTAGAATTAATTCATTTTATCTTAGAACATGTGTATAAAAAAAACAAGAAATTAAAAAATATTGTAACATACAATATAGGCGTACAAAGAAAACAATTGTGTTCAATAACACACATAATGCCTTTTTTGTTCAAGGTTACAGAGACCAAGACAATGAATTGCAAAGAAATGGGATGAAAATGATATAACAATTATAGTCAAGTTGTTAGAATTAATTCATTTTATCTTTAAAAAACTAGAAATTATAAAATATTGTAACATACAATATAGGCGTACAAAGAGAACTATTTTGATCAATATTATAATGCCTTTTTCTTCAAGGTTACAGAGACCAACACAATGAATTTCAAAGAAATGGGAGGAAAATGGGATAACAATTGTAGTCAAGTTGTTAAAATTTATTCATTTTATCTTAGAACATGTGTTTAAAAAAACTAGAAATTGTAAATAGTGTAACATACAATATAGGCGTACAAAGAGAACTATTTTGATCAATATTATAATGCCTTTTTGTTCAAGGTAACAGAGACCAACACAATGAATTTCAAAGAAATGGGAGGAAAATGGGATAACAATTGTAGTCAAGTTGTTAAAATTAATTTATTTTATCTTAGAACATGTGTATAAAAAACTAGATATTATAAAATATTGTAACATACAATAAAGGTCTACAAAGAGAACTATTTTGATCAATATTATAATGCCTTTTCGTTCAAGGTTACAGAGACCGAGACAGTGAATTTCAAAGAAATGGCAGGAAAATGGGATAACATTAAAACCAAGTTGTTAGAATTAATTCGTTTTATCTTAGAACATGTGTTTAAAAAAACAAGAAATTGTAAAAAATATTAGTACATATAATATAGGCGTAAAAAGAGAACAATTGTGATCAATACCACACATAATGCCTTTTTGTGAAAGGTTACAGAGACCAAGACAATAAATAGCAAAGGAATTGTAGGGAAATGGGATAATAATTATCCTCAAGTTGTTAGAATTAATTCATGTGTCCAATAATACTAATTGTTTTGTTTTTTATTTTCAATTTTTTTCTTCAGATTAAGTGTAATCATTTAAAAGATGAGAAACATTCTTTCTTCACAATTCTGATACAGCATTTATATTAATACATACTAAGAAGTTAAAAGATAAGAACAGAAATAATATAACTCATATCCGAATATAATTTATTTCTAATGGCTACTGTTGTGGTCTGAAGCATTTACAAAGTGAAGTAATAACATATCAATTAATTAATATTAAAGATAGTTACCACTTCCAGAGAAATGCAAAGATGTAGGTTTTTTCCGAAGTGTTCCAGTTAACGTCCCTAGATCAATAATGGTTTGGAGAATTACATTTTTGTTTGAAACTTTAGTACGCGTCATCAGGTTTTGTCCAAATCGGAGGGTGTATGCGATCTGTGCTGGACGACTATGCTAACGCTTCATCGCCGCCGGGATGCCCGTGCGAACTGTGATGCACGGTCTAGACATGTCGGCGTCCGCGGACTGCTGCGATGTGCTGGCTCGTCGAAGACGAGGAATCTCGAAAGCGCGAAGGACTCTGTTGCGGTCTTTGTATCCCCATAAAACAAATTTAGTATACTTCAAGTTTCAATTATAAGCCGTTTTATGAAGCATTAGTCCCGTTTCGTAAAGAATCAAGTTTTTATCGAAGCTGAAAACTGAGTAAAATGCCCACAAACTTTGACTTTAGTACTGAATAAATCAATGCAGCCTAGGTATCTACGAAATACATTCACCATGAATCATATCCAACGATTCCAAAGGACTATTACTTTCCAAATGATAAAATCTTCACTTGACAAATTGACTGAGTGACAACTTTGGTGTCTGCCAAAAGTTCCTCTTCATTTTTATCACCGCCATTTTGAGCCTTTAGGATGTACTTTATCCTGTGTAGCACTTTCTGTCGAAGACGCTTGGGCATGGCCAGTCGCGAGTGCGCGACCCACATGTGGAGGTAATGCTCAAACGCGTCCTTCACAGAATGTCCGCAATCCTCGCATACGTATATCTTTTCTCGCCGCTCCTTGAATGTGAAGGCGAGTGGCATCTCGTGCACTTTGTTGACGTGTGTCTCAAGGGAGCAGCGCTGAGTGAAAGAACGTGCACACTGGCTGCACTTGTACGGTCTGACACCTGTGAAGACATTAATCGAGTAAATGATAAATAAGACCATTAGTATAACTTCGAGAGAGATATTAAATTATTAGTACACCAGAATCTGGTTGATACTACTGCAAGAATTTTCTAATTACGCGATCTCCTTCTATATGCACAAGCCGAAGATAGTATGTTCCCGAAGTCGGACACCTGGCGAAATATTGCACATTCTCGAATTTGTTCGGGTCTACGAAATCTACGGCTTGCATTGCAGTAGGTATAGGAGCTCCCATTGGAGAGATTCTTAAAATGAAATCGGTCAGATTATGGACTAAGCAAGACTCTTGTCTGTGGAAGAGGCTACTTCCATCAATACAAGGGTTTGTTCAGATATCTACAGGAGAAGACAGCGTACATGATTTCTAAGTTTTGAAAATTATTTAAAAAACACTGTGGCGAGTACAAGCCATTCGAAATCAAAATATGTCCATACTAAGGCTAGGTATTGCAATTTTCAGTAGAAGAATGTTTCTATAATAGTGTTGAAATTAAGGTCTAGAAAGCTATCAATGATGTTGTAAAAGGATAGCAAAGTTCCGAAATATCCTTTACAAGCAAAACGATGTTTTGTATAGGTAAATATGGCCTGCCATAGTCCGTTTAAAAGAAGTTCTGGCCGATTGAGCTACAGTCATGTACGAAAGCTTAACATTAGATTTTTAGAAATAAAGATTTCGTACAAGCGAGATTTGCAATATAACAAGATTTATACCTGTGTGTGTTCGGTAGTGCCTCTTCAGGTCAAACTTGTCATGAAATCCCTTTCCACAAAAGCCGCAGATATGTGGCTTTGTCTGGCTGTGGTATGTAGTCATATGTTTGGTGTATGCTCTTTCCGTCAGGAAGGTGCTAAAGCACTGGCTGCACCTGGGTTTTGGTTTTATGCCATTAACTGGTGTAGGTTCGTCTCCTGCAAAAGAGTATGTTGGTTTAGTGCTTGGCAGAGAGGCGGAGTCAGGTGTTGTAAGACCATTATAGGGAAGTTTGTTTGGTGACATTGATTCTGTACCATACACTGCTTGAGTGTGCGTATCGTTAGCGACGTTTGGCGTAGGTATGTTCGACACGTTTTGTGTTGTAGGGCCATTAGAGGAAGGTTTATTTGATGACATTGTTTCTGTATCATATGCTGCCAGAGAGCGCACATCGTTCACGATGTTTGGTGTAGGTATGATCGATACATCTTGCACTCTTTTCAGTTGACACCCTTTTTGACACTGTGTAGGGTTCTGCCCAGACGGTACTGCCGACTCAAGGACTGTAGTTGTGGGTACTTCTGATGTCACACAAACTGGCACGGAACTTTGTGGGCCTCTAATGCTGGTAGGTCTTGATACGGGAGGTATCCAAACATCATTGGATTGCATTCGATTGGTGGATGAAACTGTTGATCCTTGATGCATGAATTGTGGAAGCTCCCGAACTAAGCTATTCTTACCGACAGACTGAGGTTGTAGAGTTGTCATATTGGTTGATTCAGCGTCTTGCGATAAGACTCTTGTACGTGGTGTGGATGTAGGATATAGATACTGTTGTCTCAAATTGGTCTTGTTCGGAGGCTGTACTCCTGGTGAAATAGATTGTGAAACCGTCGGTGGGAGACGCCAGGAAGGTAGACATCTAGAGGCACTTGGAGTCTGGGAAGCACTTGCCCATCCTTGGGTTGTAAGGACCGGAGGTGTCCCGGACTCTGAGCCGACACTACCTTCATTACTCCATCCTTCTTGGTATACGGGTGGCGGATTACGACTAGATGCAATGCGTTTTTCTGATGGATGCAACTTGATCCCTCTATCATCGAAGTTGGTATCTTTCCCAGATTGTGGAAAGGCGTTCAGAGCAGGACATACAGATATGTCTTTGTAAGGACCTGGTGACATTTGCATATGATTTGCAACGGAACCATCTGGACATGAGTCTTTGCGATATTGATGATGTCTACTTGAGAGGAATGCTGAATCTCGGGTGACTCCTTGGTAATGGTTTGAGGTCTGAAGCTCCACGAGAAGATCTTTTATCAGGTCGCGTTTCATCATAGCTTCAGCGTAATAGGACTTCAACAAAGACATGCAAGTTGCCCGGCTCGGCTGCTTCCCTGTTTCATCCTGTATTACCTGAGTGAGATCTTCAAGCGAAAATAATCTGTTACCTGTAGGCCCCTTAGACTGAAAGCGATGAAACTTCCGTGATCCTTCTTTTGAGGCACCTGAAGTAAGTGACATGTGTTCTTCATGACGCCTTGGTGGGTAGCCTTCCCTGTGAACGTCACCTATATGGTCTGGTTGCGCATTTATAGAGGAACAACTGGTTTCAGTAGAGACATCTAGGGCATACTGATGCTTGGGTTCTGTATTAAACTTGTGGCTGATATTCCAATCGCGGGGGTTACGATAAAGGTCAGGTATTGCTTGATGCTGATACGTGCTAGGCGGTACAAAACTATCCTGTATGGTGTAGAAAGAAAGGGAAAGAAATATTTTCTCGTGTAAGCGAATATTTGCTATCGGAAAGTTATATTACATGAAAAACTATTCAAGGACTTTAAAAAAAATTAGACCCACAGCATTTTTTAAAGGTAATACAAACTTTTGGTATGGGGTCATGAATTTTGTTCAAATGAACATATTGGAATCATATGCGATCCTACAATATTCAGTGTCCATTGTCGCGGTTGAAATCGAGTCTAAAGGTATGAAATTGTAAATAATAAACTCCGTATGTTGTATAGCTCCCTCTTAAGGACAAGATATTAGTTAAGTTGTAAAACAATGTTTCTTGACTAAAATTGGCCGATTAGCTATTCCCGTTTGGAAATTATATATCACAACTACATATTCTGAGATTTTCATGGTCGCAGCTACCATTATACAGCCGTAGGCGCCATTTGAAATTTATCAAAATTTACCGGGAGCACCGGTAAATTCGTATATTCTATTTTTCTCGAAAGCAGGGGTGTTCTAGGGGCTACATTTTCTAGTGCTTATAAAACATCCACAGGGGCATCCAAATATATCAAAATTGTAAAGAATCACTATTTACCCAATTTTCAAAATTTCCAAAAACTTTGAATTGCATATCAATAGAAGGATGACTTTGCAAGATTTTCCACATGCCTTTTGTACTCACTGCCACGCATTGACCTTTTAAAGTTGATTGCCTTGTGGTCGATACGTTGAAGCTGTGCCTGACTGGTTAGCAAAATACACAGTGCTAAACATTACAGGAGTGTTTCACAAAACCCTGATTTGGGCCTCTTTTTCGTGAAAATAAATGCTCATGCGAACAAAAGAGCTTTTGACGTCTATTTTGTTTGATATTTGATTGATTCTATTTCTGCATCTTTTCGCAGAAAAAAAAAGCAATATACAAACAAGGTGCATATACTGCTTATAATTATCGGCTTGCATGGTGATGTAGATATAGGCTTACGGTTGTTCCATGTGACAGAGGGGTGGACGGTTGCACAATGTGAGACAGGTGTAGGATTGGGGGAACCATCCCCCTCTCTCACTTGGTGCAACCGTAAACCTACTTTATACACATATATATTATTAAAAATGTATTTCCTTCATGTTAATATAAATTGACACCTATGGTGTTCAGCTATTAACATCAACAGCAATTGTACTGTTTGTATATAGTATTTATCAATGTATTCTATCACATCCTTCTTATTTTGATTCCTATGTTTTTATAATTTTTCTAGGAAATCAATAATATTGTTCCACAATTTTGATAACTTCCAATCGTATCAATAATAGTGTTCCACAATTTTGATAACTTCTAATCTTATTAATAATAATGTTCCACAAGCTTGCTAACTACCAATATTTCCGTATCCATATGACTGTGTAAACATGGGAAGAGATGTTCAGTGTAAAAGACCCATCTATGAAATGTAAAATGTTTTTAGATACAATTCAGTCTCAGTTGGATATACATGTTCCTACTAAGGAGATTCGTTTGCATTGTAGAGATAAGCCTTGGATAAATGCTGAAGTTAAAGATGTTATCCGCCAAAGACAGCAAGCTTTTAATAACAAATCAAAAAGTTGGTGGCATCATCTAAGAAACAAGGTTAAACGGTTGATAAAACGACAGAAGATATCATATTATAACACCAGAGTTCGCAACTTAAAAAATGACAGCCCAGCAGCTTGGTATAAGCAGATTCGGATTTTAACAAATACTGAAAAGAAACATACTCCAATTGTAGTACCAAATATTGACCCGAATGATCCCGACAAATTCAAATATATTGCTAATTATATAAACGAGCATTTTTTAGCGGTGGCATCTGATCTTCCAGGTCTCAGTAGGAATGATTTACCTGCTTACTTACCAGCTCAGGAAACATGTCCGATTGTATGACCTTATGAAGTTTTTAAACAATTGAGTTCGTTAAACCAACAAAAGTCTGTTATAAGTGGAGACTTACCAGTGCGAATTCTTAGAGAATTTGCACTGGAATTTTGTACACCTCTTACTGATATCTTAAACACTTCTTTCCAGTTGTCAGTGGTACCATATCAGTGGAAACGATGTGAGATTACGCCAATTCCTAAATGTAAGCCTGTAATACCTCAGAATTTAAGACCTATAGCACTAACTAGTTATTTTGCGAAAATAGCAGAGTCTTATATATGTAAATGGTTACTCGAAGACATTTCATTTCAAATTGATATTAATCAATACGGAAACCGTCAAGGTCTGTCAACTAATCATTACTTAATTCGTTTGCTTCACCAGATTTATAAAAATGCAGAACATTCTCGGTCCATATCTACACTTATATTCACAGACTTTTCAAAAGCTTTTGATCGTATGTTCATGTTCGGCCTTGTATTATTTCATGGATCTTAGATTTTATTGAACACCGTCAACAACGTATGAAATATCTTAGTCATTTTTCAGACTGGTCAACGTCTCATGCCGGTGTAGCACAGGGTACAAAATTAGGACCAATTATTTTCCTAATAATGATAAATGATGCTTGTTTTAACTCAGAAATACCATACTTCAAGTATGTAGACGATCTGACATTAGTTGAAAGTCGTACATTATCACAACCATCTAAATTACCAAATACTTTATCTGATTTTTATCAATGGTCTCTTCGTAATAATATGACTCTTAATCCATCGAAATGTCATTGTATGTTTATCTCTTTTTCTAAGAATATAGCTGATCAGAGACCTTTTTTTATTGGGGATGAGTGCTTGAACAGTGTACAAAAAGCAAACATTTTAGGAATAACTGTGCAGTCCGATTTGAAATGGGACAGTCATATCTCAGACCTTTTATGCCGTGCTAATAAAAAAAACTTTTCATGCTTCGTATTCTCAAAACATACAGATTGCCATTCTGTGATCTAGGAACAATTTACAAGGGATATATTCGTCCAATATTGGATTATGGAGTACCTGTTTTTAACGGAAACCTCACCCAAAGTCATATCTTAAGTTTGGAACGAATCCAGAAAAGAGCATGTAGGACCATATTAGGTGATCAATATATTAATTATGACAAAGCTCTTGAAGTGTGTTCTTTGCAGACCCTGTCAGATAGACGCAAACAATTATGCACTAATTTTGCTTCATCTCTTGTCAACAACCCACTTTGTAAACATTGGTTACCTGTTAACAATAATGTAGATTGACCAACAAGAAGGACCAAGTATCGTCAATTTCATTGTAAAACGAACCGCTATAGAAATAGCTCAATTCCGAACCTAATAGACCTGTTGAATGCATGAATGAATCTTTATTGTCTACCTGTTGAATGGTCCGGTGTCTCATTGTCTGCATACATTTTTACATTTTTACATTTTTACATTTTACATTCCGCATTTTAAATTTTAAATTCTTTTTAAAATGAACATTGAATAGTGATAAGGTTTTGTAGCAATCATGACATGGCAATTCAGATCAGATGGTGTTCAAGTTTTTAATTCATTTGCTTATTTCTCCCCAATGTACGAAAGTCGGGAAGGAGCTTACTTGTTTTGTTGTTCATTTTTTTGAAATACCCGACACTCCTTGACACAAGAGAAGTCCAAGGATGAGCGAGCAGACCGTTAGCTAGTGTATGGGAGTGTGAATGGGAGTGTGTATAAGAGTGTAAATGTGAGT